TAAGTTCACTTTACACTATAACAGCGCCACAAGGGCGCTGTTATAGTTTTCGTACTGAATCTTTTGATGGCGATTCGAATACGCAAACGATTCGAAGTCGAAAGTTTTTCATGCTAGAGGTACAGAAGGTAATTAGATTTGCAAAATTTCAATTGCCGTGTCATTGCGTTCCGTGATGCAATGTTGATATCCTCCTATTTAATTGCAACACAATAGGCTCAGGGCTAGCGAATTTCCATCGCATTATCCCCTGACATGCAGCCGATAGTTACCTATTAAACGACAGTGGATAAGAAGACGTGTTCTGGCCATTAGCATAATTTCAACATGCACGCTAGACCGGTAGAGCGGGTGTAATGGGGTGAGGGTCTCGAGCGAGACTTCAGGCAGAAGAATTAGGCTCAGTAGGTCTCTGATGATGTGTCATTTATTGACACTTAAGTTTCAAGGGCATTAGCAGACCTAAGTACCTATTAAGGTATTGCCAAACCAACGCGTGCGCGAAGGCGATCCAACTGATTTCTACTGATCGCCATCGCGCACGCGGGCTACACGCCTTGGTTTGGCTGAACCTCTAGGGACTAAGATACGTTTAGGTACTCATACGTGTGTGGACTTCTGGTTAGCCTCTTTGACGAGTAGTAACTTAGTAAGTTACTTTACTTCTTATTTATTTTTTACTGTTAAATTCATTGCGGCGCCTTATTTCAATATTTATCTTGCACCGTAGTGCTGGAAATAGTAATTTGTACCTACCTAAGGTAGGTAGGTACTTACTTCAAAATCTGTTGTAATTAATCGTTTACTTATTTCACGATTTTGTGGAAGTGAGCTTTCTGTATCATCACCAATTATGTTTCAGGCATACTCAATAAAACACAAGATAAACAGTTAAGAGCTTTTACCAGCTGGAACCGGTTTAGGGATATTAGAAAACTGGACAGACGTTAGACATGGTTTTAACAAGGAAATCCGATTTCAGTTTGATTTAAACGTGCGCCTAAAAATTTAATCTAAATTATAACTCAAAGGTGACTTACTGACTGTCTGTCTGGTGACTTACTGACTGTCTGTCTGACTGAGTGATCTATCAACGCACAGCCCAAACCACTGGACGGATCGGGCTAAAATTTGGCATGCAGGTAGATGTTATGACGTAGGCATCCGCTAAGAAAGGATTTTACGAAACTCCACCCTAATAATAAGGAGATTATAAGATGATTTTAGGCACTAGGTATTTTCATCCATTTCCTCTGTAAAGTGAAAAGCTTCGTGTATGGTTTAAATTCCCATAAAATAGGTTCAATTACTTAATTGGTATTTTGGTAGAGTCGAAATAGAGGAGATTCACTTAAATTATGATGATTTGAAATATTTTAATGTAATGGTTTCCCTGTTAATAGGATAGGTACATTAACTGTAGATGTTCAACTACATGTACTGTTAGGTATATTTATAGGTAGGACTAGGCAATTAACATGGCAATAAACTGTATTTAAATGTTTTTCTCTACTTCTGAATTGGGGTTGCAGCTGTCTGCTGTTTCTAAAGAGCGACCATTTTCATATTTTACTGTAAAGATGTGACGACGGCACATCAAGCTAAAGCTGTGGTATCTTATTTCTTTATATTAGGTGCGATTTTGCAATAATAATCTGTATGCTGTCGACTCTACCTTCTACACCTTGAGTTAACGCGAGTTAACCATTCAACTGCGGTACTTTAATGTATTCCTAAGTAGTAAAAGCAGATAATTATGATGCTTGATGCATTCGCATTTACATCTGCAGTAATAAATGAATAACCATGAGCCGCCGATGCAATATCACTTTCATCACAATAAAGTACGTTAGTGATAGCCAGTCAAGTTGAAGGTTAATTAATAATGATAATTAAAACTATCCGGTTCATCTTCAAGTCTGGACTGGCGAGTTTTCTATAGTCCTTATGCAAATCTTACATGGCATTTGTATGTTGTACAGCAATATTAAAATTTGCAATTCAAAATGATAATGAAGAAAATCAAGGCAGAGACCAATTAAGCAATAAGTTATAGGATAAAGCAAGAGCCTAAATCTATTTATTATCTTCATGACTATAGATTAGACATACATAATACCTACTTTAGTGCAATAATATATAATTATGCGAATAATAATCAAATAAAAGTGGACCGACAACCTCATAAAGGTAGCAGGAAGGCGCTGGATGCAGGCCGCTACCAACCGGTCCTTATGGAAATCATTGGGGGAGGCCTATGTTCAGGCAGTAGACGTCCTATGGCTGATATAATGATGATGAATCAAATCACTAAAATGTCTCCTACACAAGGAAACAATAAATTACCGTAATTAATTTAACGAACCAAAAACAGCCGTCAATGTGAATCGACCGTCTAATAAGATACATTCGACATTGTTTGCATTTCGCTGATTTTATCACGTGTGAACATCGTTTGCATACTTACCGATACAATAACTCTAGACATAGTAGCTCTACTTTGTATAAGTATATTTAATGTAAATTTAACTTTGTGATTAAATCAAATCATTTATTCAGTACATAGGACCTTTCCAAGCTTGTACACGTACCCCAAAATATAACTTGCCCTATACTTAACCACTTCGGGAGACCATGTCACCAAGGGCTGGTGCTGAGAAGAATTGGCAGAAGAAACTCAGTCGCAGTTATGTAACAAAGTGGCCTGTACGCCAAGCACGAATAACTTGCGTAAAATTATTCGTATCCTTAGCGTAAATAATTTGTATGAGAATCTGAGAGCGCCTCTATCGGACGTAAAACAAACCACTATGTCTGTTGTTGGTGTGAGCACCACACATACATGGTATACACGTACAGTATGTTACCTCAGCCTCAGCTAATACGAATACTAGCACTACTAGCAATAAGTGTTATGTATGTTATGAAAAAGGCGACTTCATCATTTCAGCTCTCCAACAAAAAAAAGGAACGAGCGTCTTCTTGCATTTCATATAAAAATGTATGATAGGTAGGTATCCTTTATGAATCAACTTTTGCAGAAATAATCCTACTGCATCTGTTTACATATGCTCACGTGACTGAAAGAAAGACGTGACACTTCTGATGTGAGTCACACAATGGGTTCACACGGAATCTAAGTTCAGTTTAGAGCTAGGTCTAGTTCAATAACAAGCGAGTAAATAGGCTAGTGTGGTTTTAATGGCTGGACGTGAGAGGAAAGAAGTAACGATTTCCGGTTGGATACATTATTTGCAGGTGATTAAGTTTTAAAAGATTTAACAGTGACTTAATTAGACAAGAGGAGCTAAAGTATTTCTGCGAATTTTAAAGAGAACTAATTTCTTGAAGTTTCTTGATATCTCTAAATAGGATAGAGAACTGCAGAATTTATATCATTAATTCAATTTAATTACACCTTTTTTAAGACCGTTAAAGTAAGCTTTTAATCATCTTCAGAAACAAGACCGTTATTTTACCAACTAAGTAAATGATAAATCAATGAAGTGACTAAGGTTTTGTTGGCAGTCAAGCTGTTGATTCTAGATAGGTAATTATTTTGCAATGATTTTCTTTCGAAATACTGAGAATTCAATCAAAAATAACAATGTTAATTAATTCAAGTCATTAATCTAGGTACTGAAATGTATAATTTTCAAACATTAAACAATAATGTGCTATTTATGATAATGATAATCACTGTAGCATTGTGCGTGTTAACATCGCATCCGTTTCTTTATTTTCCAAATTAATTCCGCATTTTACAAATAACAATTAAAACAAAAACGGATATAAAGCAAAGAAAAGAAAGCAGTTAATTAAGCGACTAACAAGTCTAATAAGCGATGATAAAATTATATGTTGTTTTTTAAACAATAAGTAATAGTACCTATTGGATAATTACCAAGCTAATAAGCCAGAAAATTGGTTGTTAATATTACGACATTAGCTGGATATTAAAAAAGATGACGCATCACGATAGAAAGCAGTGATAGTGAAAGATTACGGTACAAACGTGCAAACAAAGATTACGAAGTCGACAATACATTGCCGTCTAACAAAACTATATTTTAGCCATTAATTTCATCTCAAAACCCCTCGATAATAGAAATATTCGCTAAAACAAACTAAACTTGGTAAAAACTACTTGTTTACTTATACTTAGGAAACAATTTGATACTTCCTAAGCACGTAGATAACTTGTTGAAAAAGCCCACTTATTGGTAGGTATATAACGAACGTCTCTCAGATAAACTTCAACTTCACTGCTTCTTCTTCAGGAATAAGTGAAACTTACGATTGATTCAACTTACAACTGCTTCACTTGCGAAGTACCTATGCGCCTTGCTTCCTGAAAGAAAGCTTCCTGAGTTTTACGTCTTATGATATAAAACTCGGGAAGCTATCTTAAGAATAACTTTGTTTACCTGGACATACTCGAACTCTACCAATACCTAGAAATTAGTAGAAAGTGCACATAATTGAATTAAACAAATGCTCAGTGACACACCGGTTAATTTTGCGTAATCCCAATCCCAACAAAGCGTATTGGTGTGACGTCACGGTCGGGCCCGCGTCCGGCCGTTGCGTCATGGCCACACATCCGAGCTGGCCGAATAGGACAATGTTATATGCCAGTGATACCATCACGGTAATTAGTGGAAGGTCGCATTTTTGTTGCATTCTAGGATCTAGATCAGTGGAATAATGAAGACATAAATAACACTACAGCTGGTTGCGTTGTACTATCCATACGGCAATAAAGCCACAGAAGATGTTACGATCCTACATTTCAAGCCTCAATCTTTGCTTGAGTGTGAACCAAGTTTTACAAATAGGGGTTATACTTGTCTTAAGAGGGGTAAATTCTGAAATTCGATCCTACTTAGACTGTAGACTGTGCCTACAAGACTGATTCATTTGCAAGACAAGCTTAACTTTGAAATAAACTGCAAACTGCAATGTATGGTTTAATAATGATTGTTTTTGAATTGTTTCAGATGATCACAACACACGGATAAAGAAAATCATGTGCAAACTAAAGCGAGTAAGATATAGTTGGATAATGCTGGGATGACATAGGTGGGTTTGTTCAAATACCTCTTCGTAACGGCTAAGTGCATTTGAAGACATGAAGGCACACTAAAATAACTATAGACATTGTTTAACCCTCCCATAGAGGAGGGTGGAATTCCCTCACCCTGCGCACTTCCTAGGCGCTATCACTCACTCCTACCTACCACTGACTGGGTACTACTAACTACTAGTGAATGAAACACTGTCTTGAGGTCAACTGAATTCAATGCTTTATTGCGTCCCGGTTATATTTAAAGGCCGGGCAAAAAATCTGGACACCGCGGGCTAATATTTTGCACATAAAATACAAGTGTCATCTATTGGTAAAACTATGTAAACAAACACAAACATTACAGGTGGTGCCATCTAGTAATAGAACAAAGAACGAACTTTAAACTAACTCTTAACAGACATAATACACATGGCTCAAATAAGTAATGCCACATAGCATAAGGAAGATAATCTTCAGTTTACTCTCTATTGCATCTCTATTCACTCCACAATACCTACTTTGTAGAATTTGACGAAGATGTGGTCATGATTGATTGACAGTTAGTATTATCTTTCCTCTTCTTTTATTCTTTATCATGAAAACTTGACAAGAAAAAAATTGCACACTAGCCATGTGACAAGAAAAAAAAACCTTATTTAAATTAGATTAGCGAACTGGCCACCAACAATAAAATTAAAAAGCTCACATTCTTTTGTTTGGACGCAGATGCGCGTGACCGTGTGAGCACTATGCCGCAGTCGGCGCTGGGGCTCGGCGGGGAGCGCCGGTACTCCGTGCCCTCCAACCCTCTGGTGCACGATCCCCGGGGGATGCACTCGGAGGACCTGCACGCATGGTCGATATACAGGTACCAGCTTTTCTTCTTCTTCTTCTTTTCAGCCAAATGACGTCCACTGCTGGACAAAGGCCTCCCCTAAGGTTTTCCACAATGATTATGGGCTCACTATGGGCCTCATAAGAAAGCTCAAGGTCACCCAAAGGGCGATGGAGCGGGCTATGCTCGGAGTTTCCCTGCGTGATCGAATCAGAAATGAGAAGATCCGCAGGAGAACCAAAGTAACCAGCTTTTCTACCAGCGTATAACTTTCACACCCTCCAAAAGCCTAAGATCGTGAAATCACACAAATAGTGGTTAAGTCCGTAAAGACGTGGTTCATATACAGGTACCAGCTCTTCTACCAGCTTCTAACTTTCACACCCTCCAAAAGAAAAACCTGAGACCGTGAAATCACACAAATAGTGGTTAAGTCCGTAAAGACGTGGTTCATATACAGGTACCAGCTCTTCTATAAACTTCTAATTTTCACACCCTCCAAAAGAAAAACCTAAGACCGTGAAATCACACAAATAGTGGCAAAGTCCGTAAAGGTCGTGGTCGATATACAGGTACCAGCTCTTCTACCAGCTTATCACTTTCACACCCTCCGAAAGCAAAACCTGAGACCGTGAAATCACACAAATAGTGGTAAAGTCCGTGAAGGTATTTAGGTTTCTAAGTATTTCTCAAGGACTATACCTAAAGACATTGAATTATTTTTTTGTCTATTGAGAACCAACTATGTGTGGTGTACATCTCAATGTAGTCCAGTCATTTAAGCTTAAATTAGGTAAGAATCTCGGAATTAGAGATACCCAGCTGTAAGTCTGTAAATACTTGTATATTGACACCCTAAAAGTTGTCTCAAAACCTACATATGGTAGGGTGTAAGCAACTATTAAATTTTAAGGTCAAAGGTCACAAAAATCGGTTTTTTGCGCTTTTTTTGGAAATATCTCATTTCCTATGGGTTTTTTGCTATTTGTATTTATTATCAATATTGTAGAATACTAAATTCTCTACAAATTTTGTTTAAAAAAGGCCATCGACCAAACTTTGTTTTTTGATTACAAAATAGTGTAATAAACCAAACTTACTATGACATGTATACCTCTAAACTCAGTCTGAACTGAGTTACGAGCATTAGAAGTTTGATGATTTTCATACTAGATTTGCTTTTTGTGCGCAAGTTTTGTAAGAAATTGCAACAAAATATTGCGCTATTTTTTTATTGCGCTGATTCTGCTCCATACTGATGTCTGGAGCCTTTAATGGATGATATTGTTTGTTTACACATACAATCTTACTATTTTGTTGCAATTTCTTACAAAACTTTGCGCGCAAAAAGCAAATCTAGTATGAAAATCATCAAACTTCTAATGCTCCTAACTCGGTTCAGACTGAGTTTAGAGGTATACATGTAGTAGTAAGTTTGGTTTATTACACTATTTTGTAATCAAAAAACAAAGTTTGGTCGATGGCCGCGCGAAAAAAAAAAGACGCCAATTTCCGGCATTGTCTTTTGTAGAGAATTTAGTATTCTACAATATTGATAATAAATACAAATAGCAAAAAACCCACAGGAAATGAGATATTTCTAAAAAAAGCGCAAAAAACCGATTTTTGTGACCGTTGACCTTGAAATTTAATAGTTGCTTACACCCTACCATATGTAGGTTTTGAGACAACTTTTAGGGTGTCAATATAGGTACACGTATTTACAGACTTACAGCTGGGTATCTCAAATTCCGAGGTGAACTTACTATAATGACTGGACTAATGATATTTGAGAACCGTAGCATTTGCATTTAATGATTCCTCGCCACCTTCATCAAGTTGGTCAACCATCGAGGCACATGGTTGGTTTAAGTCCTTTTAAATTTCAGTTGAGTCTCTTTGAAAACTTCCTCTATCAACTTGTGGTTGATAAACATGTATCCCATCGCTTCTGAATTCTGCAGACAGTTAACTAAGTGAATTTTTTAACAAAAATAATATCCTTGTTGTTGAAAGTTGAGTTGTGGAAATGCATAACCCAAGAGTGGCATGAAAGTATAAAGTGGCGATAATACTTACCTACTCTCTATTTACTTTTACAGAGACTCGACTAACCGCTAAGGTAACAAAATTGCTAAAGCCTGGTCCGTGAGCACGTAGAATTTTGTCCAGTGACCCCTAGCTACCCATCCTTATCGCTCGCGCGTAATTATATTGCTGTCGCGACTGTGCGACTGACACCCGCAGTGAGTGTGCGAGCGCGACAGCAACATAATTACGCGCGAGCGATAAGGATGGGTAGCTTGGGGTCATTGGACAAAATTCTACGTGCTCACGGACCAGGCTTTAGTGCGTAACATGGTTGATCAAATAATCTTCTTTTTATGTTCCAGACAAAATCTGAATTCGGACTTCACCGACAGCGCCCTAGGCAGCACCGACAAGAGCCCGCTCCCTTACGGCAACTTCCAGCTCCGCGATACGACCGTGCAGTCCATATTGTCACACCCTCGATATGGACCCAAGTGAGCTTTTTTCTATTGTATTTTTTATTGGATCTGTGAGGTATTGGAGTATTGGACCTTATTTAATAACATGAATAGGTACATGTAAAATCTAGGCCGTATCATTCCGGCAGAGTAGAATAGGATCAATTCACGTTGATCGTTGATGTGGATGGATGTGGAGTGGAGCCCCAGGATAGATTTCATAAGAGACGAAGGGAGAAACACCTATACGAATATCGGCCACAAGGGTTAATTGTAACGCTAATTTGACCTGGCCAAATCCTCCCTTTACCTTTGGTAAATTAGAGAGAATGATCCTTATTCAGTGGAGACTAAATCATGAGAATGGTCATCATCATCACCAACACCAAACGCATCTGTTCCTTTCGGGTGTATTCACATAAGGAATGTTATAAAGGTACACAAAGGCAGAAGGCACTTTCTAATAGAAGGATACTTACTAATAGGACTCTACGTCTTGATGTAGGTTTTCTAAGTATTTTCTTCTTTCCACAGATCAGCCCTGGGCTCGAACATGTACACCTACCTGAAGTTCGGTCTCCCGAGGGTGTTCCCACCGAACCACAACGGCTCGCAGCGCTCCGGCACGCCCAAGCCCAAGACTTCTATTGGCAGTGGCATGAAACCTGCCCCAAGGTATGAACACCTACAACTCTATACATCTTTATCTGCCCTCCAAAAGCCGAAATCTTACGCCCGTATTCACAAACATTACTGTGAGGTCTCACAGTGCGCGTGGAGCCGTGGACGTTGTCTGTACGACCATGAACCAATCACAGAGCTCTATTCAACGCTGTACGTACGATTTTCTGCTTCACTTAAGCAAGCATCGGTTTGTGAATACGGGCGTTAGTTCTTTCGAGTCAGGACAGAACTGCTGCCGCTGAGTTCCATTTATCAAACTGTCAAAGATGCTTCACCATTTTGTGAACCTCACTCATCAATTGAACCGCAAGGCTGGTTGGAAATCTGCAGAAAATAAAAACGCTAAGGTTCCTACAATAAACAAAAGCATAAAGCATAAATAAATAAAGCAAACAATAAGCAAAATAAACAATAATAATAGGTAGATGAACAGAGACAGTTAAAGACTAATCTACTAATCGGAACAGTTACCTAAAATAATAACACAGCCAAAATAATCAGCTTATCACATCTTAATATTTACCATTGCAATTAGACTGAATAATGAGCCTTGTCTTATTAACGTGTTATCAAGCAATCAGTAAATTGCTTGATAGTATCGATCGTATCGGTCAAGATCGAGGGATTCTATTGCACACAACGGTTAAAGATGATGATCAGCGACCCGGCAACCGGGACTTTTTAATTATTTTCAGATTTCTCGTTAACTCTGAGTGATCAGTGATCACTTATCAATTGACATACTTTTTATAAGCTGTTAAATGTGATTTTAGTTAGATTTCGGATAGCAACGGGCACCTACTTAGGTATATGGTCTTGGTCACTTCACATTTCAAATGATCATTTCCTAATACATTTTCAGTTAGATAATTAGGTTTTCTGAATATAAACGTACCTGTTTACAGAAATATTTTTGAACTTAAGATTGTTTAATCATAATTTAAGAACGGCGTAAACTAGTAAGTTGTATGCAGTCTACAGTCGTTCTGTTGCTGTAGCGTTCCAATTGCGACACCTTCAGTAAGCAGTATCTATTTGGAGTAACTTAGTAAGGGGTAGTAAGGTTGAAGAGGACTATGTTCCAAAGGCTGCTAGATAGATAGATTTGGGAGTAATAAACCGTTCTTCCTCCAGGATCCAAAGGCAAAGTCGGGGCGTGCGAGAGACATCGTCGGGATACGACAGCTCGGACAACGAGACCACCACCAACTACAAGTACAGCCGAAAGTACCGCTCCGACCCTGACTTCAGGATGCAGAACTTACACCCTTCGTATCAGGTAACATGCTTACAAATACACTTGCATAAATATAATAAATTGTAATATGTACTCAAATATGCACTAGTTTTATCCGAAAACTCGAATTAAATAATACTTTTGGTGAATATTATTTTCCAAGTCAGTATGGCTAGAAAATATTCGCGAGTCGAGAATCTCGACGATATTAATTTTTAATTTTCAAGCACATTTATGGCACTGCATCCAATGCATCCAATAAGTAGAAGGGCTAGGTGCTGAGAAGAAGAAATGCAACTTCAGATATTTGCCAACCTCTTGTTTAGAAGTTTCTTGAGAACCCAAGTTTTATGATCATGGAAACATGGAATGTGCACGGGACGGTCCCTAAATAATCAAATGGTATTGTGTATCCGGTTTAATCAAATCTTTTTTTTGTTGATGTTTGCTGGGGCAAATTAGGTCATGATCCTGCAGTGACAACTAAATGATCTGATGGTTATGATGATGATGATTGTTTATCCAGCACAGCACAGCAGTGCCAGTGGTGGCCATGCAGCAGGCCGGCATCCGAGGGGAGCCTCAGTGGACCGGCACGAGGAACAAGTCCGTCAGTGAAGCCAACCTCTTAGGCATTGATGCCAGGCCGCACCGGTCGCACTACAATAGGCGGAACAGTGTCGCCGACTTTGTGCCTGATAACGACCATCATAGGTGATGATATGATATTTATTTTAGTGCCAAAAATGACACTGGTTTACGTCAGTGAAAAAACGGGCGAGGGGTTAGGGCGGAATAGCTGACGCTGCAGCATTTGATAGGCGAAAAACATTAATTACATTGATTGAAGGGATGTGTGATGGAAGGGAAGCACGCAACTGGAAATCTTTCGTCCAGCGAACTCTGAAACGAGCCAAGTGCACGCAAAAGCTACTAAGCCTACCTCAAAAATATTCAGTTGTTTTGATTTTTCAAGAAGTAGGTAGTCTTGCAGTGCCGGAAGTTTCGTTCGTTCGTTTCAGCCAAATGACGTCCACTGCTGGACAAAGGCCTCCCCCAAGGTTTTCCACAATGTTTTCAGGAAGTTTATCTATTGTAAATCTATCGTAGGATTAAACTCTTATGTTTGAAAGTTTTTTTATGGTTATCTTTATGGCAAACGTAAGAAATACATTTTGACCTCATAGTTTCCCNTCCGTAAAGTCGTGGTTCATATACAGGTACCAGCTCTTCTACCAGCTTATAACTTTCACACCCTCCAAAAGCCTAAGACCGTGAAATCACACAAATAGTGATAAAGGTCGTGGTCGATATACATGTACCAGCTCTTCTACCAGCATCTAACTTTCACACTCTCCAAAAGAAAAACCTAAGTCCGTGAAATCACACAAATAGTGGTGGGTCCGGCTAAAAACTATACAGAACTAAGTAAAGACTATAAAGACATTGAACAATTTTTTTTTGCCTATTAAGACTATGTATGGTGTGCATTCTCAATGATATTTGAGAACCGTAATAGCATTTGCGTTTAATGATTACTCGCCACTTTCATCAAGTTGATCAACCATCGAGGCACATGGTTGGTTCAAGTCCTTTCTCAGTTATAAGTACCTTTGAAAACTTTCTCTATCCACTGGTGGTCGATAAACATGTATCCCATCGCTTCTGGATTCTTCATTCTGCAGACAGTTAACTGAGTTTTTTAACAAAAATAATATCCTTGTTGAAAGTTGAGTTGTGGAAATGCATAACTCAAGAGTAAGGCATGAAAGTTGGCGATAATACCATAATACTTACCTACTCTCTGTTTACTTTTACAGAGACTCGACTAACCGCTAAGGTAACAAAATTTGCTAAAGCCTGGTCCGTGAGCACGTAGAATTTTGTCCAGTGACCCCTAGCTACCCATCCTTATCGCTCGCGCGTAATTATATTGCTGTCGCGACTGTGCGACTGGCACCCGCAGTGAGTGTGCGAGCGCGACAGCAACATAATTACGCGCGAGCGATAAGGATGGGTAGCTTGGGGTCATTGGACAAAATTCTACGTGCTCACGGACCAGGCTTTAGTGCGTAACATGGTTGATCAAATAATCTTCTTTTTATGTTCCAGACAAAATCTGAATTCGGACTTCACCGACAGCGCCCTAGGCAGCACCGACAAGAGCCCGCTCCCTTACGGCAACTTCCAGCTCCGCGATACGACCGTGCAGTCCATATTGTCACACCCTCGATATGGACCCAAGTAAGCTTACACTTATCGTATTTTTTATTGGATCTGTGAGGTATTGGACCTTAATTACTAACATAAGAATACATGTAAAATCTAGGTCATATCATTCCGGCAGAGTAGAATAGGATCATTCACGTTGGAGTGGAGCCCCAGGATAGATTTCATAAGAGACGAAGGGAGAAACACCTATACGAATATCAAGTCACCACAGCCCGTCTGGCCACGAGGGGTAGTGTACGCTAATTTGACCTGGCCAAATCCTCCTTTTGCCTTTGGTAAATTAGAGAGAATCATCCTTAATCAGTGGAGACTAAATTACCTGATGATGAAAATGGACACCATCATCATCAACACCAAACTCATCTGTTCGTTTCGGGTGTATTTAATTTTCATAAGGAATGTTAGGTATACCCTTATACCTACCCATAGACAGAAGGCACATGTAAATAGGTTAAAGATTACTTACTAATAAGACGCTACCTGTCTTGATGTAGGTTTTTTAAGTATTTTCTTCTTTCCACAGATCAGCCCTGGGCTCGAACATGTACACCTACCTGAAGTTCGGCCTCCCGAGGGTGTTCCCACCGAACCACAACGGCTCGCAGCGCTCCGGCACGCCCAAGCCCAAGACCTCTATTGGCAGTGGCATGAAACCTGCCCCTAGGTATAAATATCTACTACTCCATACATCCTTAAGTAGGTAAACATGCCCTCCGAAACCCGAAATCTTACGCCCGTATTCACAAACATAACTATGAGGTCTCACAGTGCGCGTGGACGCACATGGTGATACACGAACCAATCATAGAGCTCTATTCAACGCTGTGCGTTCAATTTTCTGCTTCACTTAACCCATTTAGACCGATAATTATTTTTGTAAATAAAACTTGATTTTTCAGCAAAAACTTATAAAGGGGAGCCTAAAAATCATGAAAAAAATATTTAAAAAAATATTCCATAAATAGGGGGCCGTGGGGAGCCCGTACCATATAGGGTACAGTAGGTCTATAAGCAAGCAAAACATAGTCGTTGTTCAAAGAAGGTTTTTATTTATTTTTGTATGATATAAAATAAAAATAAAATCACATAATCACTAGTATCACACATGGCATATTTTGTAAGACGTTTTCTGTGATACTATCTACATTTGGTTCTTTTTTCCTACCTTCTTCGAAGTTAGTGAGGATAGCTGAAGAAGACCTGGCTTCTTCTGATTTGTTACGTTTAGTGCTATCCATAATCGCATTTAGCAACACGACAATGGAAATTTAGCAAATCCATCGAAGAAAACTCTGAGGGTATTATCGCCTAAATCTTCATCAGTCTGATCATCATTAGCGGTCATCTGCCAAGATAGCAGTAGATAAATACCAACATTGCTTTATTTTTGCTGAAATTATCAAATTTTTCATGAGTTATGGCAATATAGTAAAGCATCAATAGCCTAAAACAAATAAAAATAATAAAAATTATATTTATTTTTTCGCATGTTGTGCTCGTGCATAGACCTACTGTACCTTATACGGTACACCTATTTAAGACTGGAATAAACCCTATAAAAATAATCTCAATAATATTTTTTTTGTAGTCATGTTATCTATTGTACTCTATTTTTTAAATAAAATTGATAAATAACATAATTTACCATGAATAATAAGAAATTATACCTTCTTAAATACATTGTAATTTTTTTTTTGTTTTCTGTCGAGGAATTTTATAAATATTTCCAAAACCACTTGTTAAAACATATTTTTATGTAAATTAATCACTTTAAGCTTACTGTCACAATCATTTTTATAAATTAACAACAGTTTGGTTTTTAGAAATATTTTCATAAAGGTACCGTACCACATAGGGTACGGTAGGGCTAAATGGGACAAGCATCGGTTTGTGAATACGAGGGTTAGTTCTTTCGAGACAGGAAAGAACTTCTGCCACTGAGTTCCATTTATCAAACTATCAAAGTTGCTTCACCACTTTGTGAAGAAACCGCAAGACTGATTGGAAATCTGCAGAAAATAAAAACACTAAGGTTTCTACAATAAACAAAAGCATAAGTAAAACAAACAATAATAATAGGTAGATGAACAGAGACAGCTAAAGACTAATCTACTGATCGGAACAGTTACCTAAAATAATAACACAATCAAAATAATCAGCTTATCACATCTTAATATTTACCATTGCAATTAGACTCAATAATGAGCCTTGTGTTATTAACGTTCTATCAACCAATCAGTAAATTGCTTGATAGTATCGATCGTATCGGTTAAGATCGAGGGATTCGATTGCACACAACGGTTAAAGATGATGATCAGCGACCCGGCAACCGGGACTTTTTAATTATTATCAGATTTCTAGTTAACTCTGAGTGATCAGTGATCACTTATCAATTGACATACATTTTATAAGCTGTTAAACGTGATTTCAGCTTCATCTTTCGTCAGCTTTTGGATAGCAACTTCTTCGCATCTCAAATGATGATTATGTCTATCATTATAGAAATGCATTTTCAGTTAGTTAGTTAGGTTTTCTGAACATTAGCGTACCTGTTTACAGAAATATTTTTGAACTTAAGATTGTTTCATGATTTGGGAACGGTGTAAACTAGGAAGTTTTATGTAGTCTACAGTCGTTCTGTTGCTGTAGCATTCCAAATGCCACACCTTTAATAAGCAGTATTTAGGTCCTAAATTTTCGGAGCAATCAGATGACATCCGACAACAAGCTAGAATAAACTGAATGCAAGTGGCAGGGGACAGAAGCCGGTGGAAGGTTGAAGAGGAGGCCTAACCCCAAAGGCTGCTATAGATACATAGATTTGGGAGTAATAAACCGTTCTTCCTCCAGGATCCAAAGGCAAAGTCGGGGCGTGCGAGAGACATCGTCGGGATACGACAGCTCGGACAACGAGACCACCACCAACTACAAGTACAGCCGAAAGTACCGTTCCGACCCTGACTTCAGGATGCAGAACTTACACCCTTCGTATCAGGTAAAAATAGATTTATAATACTCCAATATGTTTTTCAAATTAAGAGTCTAGCCAGAAGAATTCACGACCATGTTGACCATATTCATTTCCAATCCAAACTGATATATGACCGCAACCAATAGAGGGGTTAGTGCAAGAAGAAATGCAGCTTCAGATGTTTTGTCAACTTCTTTCTTGAGAATTTCAGAAATCTAATCTAAAAATTGTTTTATCAATTCTTGGAATTCTAACTATTATTTTCAACCCTCATCGAACGTCCGAGGTCGATCCTTACTAATCAAGCGGTATTGTTTATCCAGCACAGCACAGCAGTGCCAGTGGTGGCCATGCAGCAGGCCGGCATCCGAGGGGAGCCTCAGTGGACAGGCACGAGGAACAAGTCCGTCAGTGAAGCCAATCTCTTAGGCATTGATGCCAGGCCGCACCGGTCGCACTACAATAGGAGGAACAGTGTCGCCGACTTCGTGCCTGATAACGACCATCATAGGTATGATATTTTATTTTAGTGAAAAAAATTACACTGGTTTACGTCAGTGAAAAAACGGGCGAGGGGTTAGGGCGGAATAGCTGACGCTGCAGCATTTGATAGGCGTAAAAACATTAATTACATTGATTGAAGGGATGTGTGATGGAAGGGAAGCATGCAACTTGGAATTATACGCTCAGCAGTAAAAGTATTTTGGCTGAAACGAGCCAAGTGCACGCAAAAGTTACTCCTAAGCCTACCTTATTCCTGACCCTCTTTTTCGGCAGTAATTCGATTGATAGTTCCCAATATCTATGTTTTCTCTTTAAAAATATTCAGGTGTTTTGATTTTTCAAGAAGTAGTCTTGCAGATCGGGAAGTTTATCTATGTAAATCTATCGTAGGATTAAACTCTTATGTTTGAAAGTTTTTTTATGGTTATCTTTATGGCGAACGTAAGAAATACATTTTGACCTCACAGTTTCCCGATCATCACACCCTTGTACGATAGGCTTGAAGGTATTTTTCTTCCAGCTACCTAATGGCGCCGTCGCACTTAGGCGGGCGCGCCTCCAAAGCCGGCAGCCACATGTCGGTGGCGCACTCGCGGAAGCACTCCACGCTGCGGCCCACAGACCACCTGGATGGGTACACCCACTCCGCGTATATCTACCCTAATTATTACGTGAGTTCATTGAATTAGGATCTATGGTTTTGGTAAACGGGTCTTAGACAAGCTGAGTCTTGGTTTCTATTGACTTAGAAACTCCAAATGCTGGTCTACAAATTAATGACTTTGCTTAGCAAATTATATGGTTGTCTTTTTACCCACAATAGAGAAACTCTTGGCCTACAACTCGCCTGATGTGAGTGATAATCCGAAGCCAAGGTAGCACTGAGCTTCACTCGATATTCCTCAACCACAGAGGAACTTGCTACCTTACCTCAAATCAAACTACCATGTATTTGCCCTATAACTTTTTCTATTCTTTTCTTTTTTCATCTGATTAACTACTTTTCTTACGTCTCTCTAATTTTACTCAGTTTTTAGCAAATTGTCTTTAACAGAGTTTCCAGAAAAGTGGCAACTCCCTCGGCCATAAACTCAAATTGTAAAATGCCCGTTTAATTCCAGGTAAACAACTTAGAAATCACTTCACCCGNGTCACCCGACAACAAGTCGACACTGCTGGTGTCAGGTCTAAGCTTCGAGGTGAAATCGGGCGAGATCCTGGCGGTGCTGGCCACGTCGCAGCACGAGGCGACTGGCTTGCTGGACGTGCTAGCGGGAGTGAGGAAAGTGAGTAGCAAAACTGTTGAAGTCTTCAGAAGTTAGGCTAATAAATCAAGTTAGGCAAATATTAGGAAACTCCAAGACATGTCATATAAAGACGCGAAACACAAATTTGGCTCATAGCACATACACACTACACACACTGTAAAACAAAAGCAATCTTTTGACCTTAAAATTAAGCTAAGAATATCATACAGTACAGCTTAGGATCCCGTGTCAAACAGGCTGAAAGATCAACCATTTATTCCTTCATCATTGTGCATTGCAGTGGCGATAGGATAGTGGAAGTTTTCAAACTTGATTGACGCTCTTTTAGGTATACAACCCCCCTAGACAAAACGCACTTTTTGATCGAATCGAAAATCGAATCCGTCAAAACTCCATACAAAAAAGGGCCTTTTCGACTGGTTTGCGATTATAATTTGCACTTTGTCTAGACCCACTGGTTACCAGTCTACATAGTTTTTTTTTATCGTAACCATTTATTCAAGTGTTTAATTCATCACACTTTAGAAAAATGTAAAGCTCAATTCAAAATAAACTACCCTCTTCCAGAAACTCTCCGGCGATATTGTGATAAACGGGCAGCCAGTAGCTTCGTCGACCCTCCGCAAGGTGGCGGCCTACGTCCGGAACGACACCAATCTGTGCCCGAATATGACAGTGGAACACACGCTGAGGTTCCACGCCGCGCTGCGGAGACCGAGGAGCAACCACAACCAGGTCAAAATGGACGACAGGGATAGAGTAAGTTAGAATGTTTACTATTTAAAGCCTCCCCCAAGGATTTCTACGACTGGTCCAGCGCTACCCGCATTCAGGCGCCTCCTGTGACCTTCACCAGATCGTCGATTCACCAAGTGGGAGGGCTGCTGAGACGAGTATTCTTACTCGTAATCTTTTATTGTATTTATCATAATTATCCCGACTCCTACAAGTAACAGATATCTTTTAAAAAATTTTTGTACGCATTCCAGTTTTCAAGATTGATAAGATTCTGTCTCCAACTTGATGGTTTTCTTTCCAGATAAACCTCCTAATAGAAGAATTAGGCTTAGAACAAGTGCGAGACACAAACGTCAGCCGCCTCACGCGGTCCGAGGTGCGAAGACTGAACGTAGCGTGCCAACTACTCCTGGATATGGCGATTCTGATCCTGGATCAGCCTACTAAGGAAATGGACATCTTCGATACGTTCTTCTTAGTGGAGTATTTGAGGAATTGGGCGAGCACAGGCAGGGTGGTTATAATTTCACTGCACCCGCCAACGTATGAAATCTTCGCTATGTTGACGAAGGTAAGGATGACAATCGGTTCTTGGTAAAAGGCAAACATGTAGTTTAGAACAATCTTCTACTTCTTCTATAAGAGGGTATGGATGGGGACGCGATTATTCAGTTAAATTCTTGAAATATTTTTTTTAAGAAGGCGCGTTTTATGTGGAAAATGGTACAGTTCTGATTGTAGCTTCTTGCTTTTCAGGTGGTATTAATATCTGCAGCCAGAACGATGTTCAGCGGGTACAGAAGAGACATGTTGCCATATTTCACCTCTATCGACTACCCCAGTCCTGCTTTCAAGAACCCTTCGGATTACTATCGTGAGTAAAATATGATCTTTTTGAAACATCTTTAGCTACCAATGCAGCAAAAGCTATGCAGACGACATATTTCCTGTAATGTCTAGCTAAAAGAGTCGAGTTTGGGTGATTAGGGACTTAACAGACGTTTGAATTTAACTGTCGATTTCTAGTCTGACCAGTTCAAAGTAGACATGCTCTATTTTCAACCCATTTGAGTATTCAAGTGAAAAAAAAAACTTTACACAACCCCATATAAATGTCAGGTCTTCTTCGACAAAATGATTTTACCATGCGGACAAGGACAATAATGAGTGACATTAAAAGTGACTATCATTTCCCAGTGGACCTGGTAACCCTGGACGACTTATCCGCGACGGCCATGTTCTTTGACAAAATTATGTTAGCATGGCGATATTAAAAGTGACTTATTTCCCAGTGGACCTGGTAACCCTGGACGATTTATCCGCGGCGGCCATGTTGGAGTCATCAGGGCGTATCGAAGCCTTAGCGAATGTGTTCGCGGGAGCGCACGCGCCGCCCGAACTTCCGCCCCCCGTGCCTCTGCCCGCGCCCGCTGCGACTCCTAACGTCGCGTTGCAAGTCTTCGCGCTTATTGAGTAAGTATTATGACTTATTATGGCATAGTATAAGACTAGAAGCCGTGTGGCAGCAGAGTAGAATACATTTGTCACTAACCCCAACTCTTCTTCCCGCGGGTGTCGAAAGAGGCGACTTAGGGACACATCAAACAGAGAACGGGCAGCAGCGCTCTCTGAAAAACATCAATATTTTAAACTGCGATCTCCAACCCGCCTGCTAAGCGTGGGGATTTTGGCAAAACCCTCTACTATAGTGGAGGAGGTTCATACACTCAACATCAAATAAACCGCACCTTCCGCGACGCGAACTTTAAAGATTTTTTTCTGACACAATCATGGTACCCCAACAATATTGGTGTTATTTGAAGGCCCAATAAATATCCTTAAAGAAAAATACATTTCATTTCTAAATAAATGATTAACATATACCATAAATGTGACTTGAAAATAGACCTCACTTTGGGCTCACTTCTGGGATCAATTAGACCAATTTTTATGGTTATAAAACCAAATAAAGATCTCACGTGTCCTCTTTAACAGATGGATAGCGATTAATCCAAACTTAACAGTTTTATAGTCTTAAAAAATGGCTATAGCGTAACTACCTATTTTTTGAAGAAGTGACTCTGGATCCTTGTAAAGACACATTTTTGGGGTAAAAACCTTTCCTTTAATGAAATGAAGTTTAGAACTAGGCTTTCAAATGGTACCAATGTTGGTGGGAAGTGGGGATGCATACGTTTGATAAGTGCTTGTCGCGGGAGGTGCGATTTATTTGATGCCGAGTGTAGTTTAGCAGTGTACTAGATGGTGGTGACTGGTGCATTTTTCTGATGAAATTATTTTCTTTGCAGAAAAAGCCTAGTATTCACCCAGATGACAACGCTATCGAATGTTGTGACGCGGGTTCTCATCGCAGCTATCATGTCCCTGGTCACTGGCACTATCTTCTGGGACTTACCTACAACTGATGCTAAGGTATGTTATCGTTCGTTCGTTCGTTTCAGCCAAATGACGTCCACTGCTGGACAAAGGCCTCCCCCAAGGTATGTTATCATTAAGACGAAATTATGTGATAATAGCTAATTCTTTGTTGTTTGTCTTCATCTAGTTTCATCTTGTCTTTTGTCTCTTCTCCCCTCGGGTAGTCTAGACAAGAAGACATCTCTTCTTGACTGAAATAAAACCGATTTTCCAACTGATGGTCTTTTGTAACAAAGTTGTTATTTGTTGAGTAGGTTTCAAACAACCCTCTAATCTTGTTCGTACTTTCAGCTAACCCAAAACGACCGGGTGGGTTTCCACTACTCCGTAATGTGCCTGACAGTGTGGCCTATACTGCTCTGGCTGAGCGCTCGGGAGGCGAGCTCCATGCGGCACCACGTGGAAAGGGACATCGCCGTCGGCCTTTACTCGAGAATAGTCTTTATTTTATTTGACGTGAGTACAAATTAGAGATAAATCATTTGATTGTGTTTAGAGATGGTTCTCTACTAATATCTTGACCTTCACTGGTTGGGTTTTTATTTGCGTTCAAGCTGTAGATCCTGGCTACATAGGAGTTGCAGCGGTGGGAATGAGAACTGGGAATAATCCCGTAACATCTAGACTGGGTAGAATCAAATAGTCAAAGAACTCAACTGTTTGGATTGACTCAACATTCAGCAGGTTTTTGCTTTCTATGATCTATCTTAGCTCCTTTCATTTATATGTTTTCTTTGGAGTCCTAGTGTGATAACTTTGGAAATTATCTAGATATTATATTATCTTAAACCTTATTGCCTAGCAGTGTGGTCCAAAGCAACTAAAGTTTCTTATATAATTTGTATAATTTTGTATGTTCCAGCAATTTCTTGAGTTGTGGTCGGGCGTGCTAACGTGGCTGGCGTACTTGGTGCCTAGCTACGCCATGTCTGGCCTATATGCGCAGACGCCGGGCTCCTTCGATGGATTTTATATTTATTTAGGTAAGATAATTCTTTAATCTACCTCATACAGATAAATATCACCAGCACCGTTGTCTCTGCTCTTGATGTGTATCGTCCCGATTGTTTTTCAGCGCGCTTTTGATCGTAACTTGCACATCCTTAGGGCGTGTTGACGTGTCGGTTTTTTTTTTTTTATGTGATAGGAGGCAAACGAGCAGACGGATCACCTGATGGTAAGTGATTACCGTCGCCCATAGACACCCGCAGACCCAGGGGCGTTACAGTCCAGTACTATCCAGTCCAGTCGGACTGCCTTTAAAGTTACCATCTATCGTAATCCCTTGTCAGCACTTGCTACTTTTCTCTCTATCTCGAACCGTATCTCTTGGGCCCAGACCAGTTTGAAACCGGTTTGAAATGGTCGCGTCATGTGTGGTCTCTCAACGGAATCTATGGCAGAAACTTAGATGCAACTCAAAAGTAACTAGAAGTTGCAGTCTCGTTGCAATTGCGTTTCACCGTGTGTTCTGGAGGGCCTTAGATATAAGTAATTCTTACTGCTGGCAATCTTACGACTTGTAAATATCTGCGCCAAATGAATATTGCTGTTTTTATTGATTTCTTTTCTTGCTCTTTCCCAGGCTACATGGTGCTATACCTAGTCAGCATCCAAATGCTGTGCCGCGCCACCATATTCCTCGTGCCAATGGAGAAGACCGCAGCCATCCTGTCAGGCCTCTGCCTTCTTCTTAGCACACTGGTCTGTGGGGTCACGCTTCACGAGGCAGACATACCTAGATTGGCCAAGTGGCTGCAATACGTGTCCCCTCAAAGATGGTTGATGCCTGAGATATTGGGCAGAGAACTCAGTGAGACAGCCTTGAGGACCAGTATTAGTAAAGACGCCAGGTGTACCAATAAGCAGGTTGGTATCATAGTTCCTTTAATATAAATTGATTCAAATTCTCTATCTCACTAAAGTATACACAGTAGCTTGTAAAGATTCTGTAGTGCTCTTTCATACATAAAGCACCAAGTAATATTATCAAGCAGAATTTTCTTCAATTCCTCCCATTTCATCCTATCTTATTTCCTTGATAGGACAGGATTTTCTGGACAAACTCAACCTCCACTAGTTGTTTTATTGGTAGGCAAGTTTCGTTCATAAGAGTTATATGTAAGTGGTGTCCTCAAATCTTCTTTTATTACAATACATAATCTTCTTTTTTCATAATCTTTTTTCTTTTCAGAGACCATACCAGGACATAATCGTCCAGTCACCGTGCCCACCGCCGAACGGGACGCAAGTCCTGTCCAACTACGAGTTCCTTCATTCCGCCCAGCTGTGGGAATGGACCGACGAGAGCTTCCTAATAGCCTTGGCTATCTTCTACGCCGTCTTCGCGATAGTCGCCATATTGGCTTTCACATTCGACTGTACTAAGTACGCGAGGAGCAAACACAGGGCGTCCTTGAAAGGACATAAGATCACTGTCAATACGCCGTAAGGGAAATTGGTAGTCAGTACATCTACGTATCACAAAAAGTTCTTCAATTGATTTTGAACCTTGCGATAAGGAGTTTAAATTTAAAATCTATTGGGGAATTTCGAAATTTAGTGGCACTCTGCTGCTGAACAAGGTTTTTACTGGATTCCAGTTCTATAGTCTTGACCAATAAGGCTGGAGACTAGGAACTGAATAAGCTTTTTGTCATACAAAAGAAGTTTGTATCAACAAAATGCAAGCATGAAAAATTTACACATAAACAGACCCCTACAAAGAAAGTACACAAGTAAACTTTATAAATGAATTATCAAAATTATGATTAAAATGTAGGAAACATCATCAATTTACGTGTTTTACGTAAATCTGTGATATTTGCCAATACATAAATGATCATACAATAAAATGTGATAAAATTAATCATCACAATTTATTACGTCATAGACAATGCAAAAAAATGCTCAAAGACGAGCCTAAGGTTGTATTAAATTAATAAATTCGTTCAAAATGTACAAAATAATGATATTTTTAAGGTTTATTGTTATTCAAAAGTAAGGCTGACTAGTAATGTCGTCCGTCCTGAATGAAATATTTTAAAAATATTGTACCTAGCATGTAAAAATATTATCGCAACTGTAATTGTATATGAATTACTTAAAACTTATTAAAAAAATCTAGATCTTTGCTCTGTACTTCTTTCTTTTTCTCAATGAACTTCTTTCAAAAGGGTCTTCTATTTCTATCTACCTCTCTCTATTTCTTGCTTCCTTTTCTCTACTTCTTGTTAGAAAAAAGATGTTTAAGTAAGCATGATTAGTTAAAATTAATTTGTAAATATTAAAAACAACTTAGTGCCGAATTCGCATAATTTCACGTATATCGCTAACACTGCCCTTGTGTAATGCTCATTTTGAATTTATTTTCAATGAAAATTTCTATATTTTCAAAAAATAAATATTATTCAATATGCCAACTATTGTTATAACTTAGTAAAATAATGAAAGTGGAGCCATATCACTTAAATATAGAGAAACTTAATTGTTAAGTTACCTTAACGTTAATCATAAAATTAAAGTAATAAAGACAATAACTACTATTTTAATTTCTTTTATTTCATCTTTAACGTGTGCAGTAATAAACAATAATTTAATAAAATGATTTAATAATAAATTAATTAAATTAATGTTTAACAAAAGTCTATTCTATCTCTTTTTCCTGAGAAAGCTCAGCATGAAATAATTTCTGTACAACTTAGGAATTTCTTTAAAATTGAGAAATACAAAATAATATGTTCAGAACACAAGTGATACAGTCCTATAGCAAAAAAATTGCTCAGTATCAATCAAATCAGTCGTACAAATCAGTTTCTAATAAGTACATGCACGGAATTATCTACAAGCAAGACAAAATATTAAAGTTATTTTATGTAAAAAACACATGTCATGTATGTATATTTTTAAGTCATAGTTATTGTTCCCTTGTATATTTCACATCTTGAAAATTCTTACATGTTAATTTAAAAGAGGTGGGTTATCAAATTTAAAATAAAGACCCTGGAAGATTTGATTACAAAAATTACATTCTCTGGGGCGTGAAAATTTCGCATTTTGCCGCTACTTTACCTATAAAGCGCCATCTATTGGTCACAACAATCAACTTTTGACGTTACCTGTGTGGAACAATTCGTGATACCTCCTGCATATCTCGCAGACGCACGGGGTGACTTTTGACCTGAAGTGCTTGTGTTTCTCGCGTTCCTTCGGCTTCGGCTCGAAGATCGGGGCGTGCTCGATGTATCTGCTTTCTAGAATCATCTTCTGTATTCTGTCTTCGTCTGGGAACATTTGCTTTCGGGCATGCTCGGAGTCCGTACTTGATCTGTAAGTTGAGAAAAACAATATTGAAAGCGTTGGTTCAGTGAGTTTTATGAGGAGAAAAATAGTTGCTTTGAAGGTAATAACTCTATGTCTATGATGTATAAGGCAGTGGTAATAATGGGATGGACTGAAACTGAGAAAAGAACAATTTTAAAGTAAAAAAAATGTGAAAAAGATATTTTTAAATATTTTCATCCAGCAGTTTTGGTTTTTTAACAGAACCCACCTAAGATGCTATGTAATATATGTTGTCGACTGTACTAGCTTTCAGTTGGTTTCTTAATGAGTCTCACTTCTTCAGTAAAATTTTATTGCAGTCACTAGTTGGGTTAATTTAATTCTGTCAAGCTGTACGCACATCTAGCTCATCATACTGTAGCAAATACAGCAGTTCTACAATAATGTAGTGTTTGAGGGTACCTGGTGTATCGGTCTTCTTCGACGCGTCCCGTATCGTTGCTAGGCCAGTCGGCTCCTAAGCGCGTCTCCACATTGTAGACGTTGTATTGGCGCCGTCGGGGCAGGAAGCTTCGGAACAGGGACAGGCGGGACTTGGTCGGGCTAGAAGGAGAGGATGCAAGTAAGAGGAGGATAAAGGACGTAGCACACTTATCAACCCGGAAAGGGGTCGTAATCGTATCAACATGAGGCGATCAGTATTTTCTTTGCATGAAACTCCATACTGCGAAACTACGACCCACCCTTATCCGCACCGTAACGTAAAACTCCTCGCCTCGCGGTTGACAGCGCGCGAAAGGCGATGATAGCTCGCGAAAGGCCATACGGTGTTGTTGATCCCTTTCAGAGTTGATAAGTCTGCTATGACCTTCAAGGAGACCTATAACGTGTGGATCATGGCTCTTATTGGCGGGGTTGTTAGGTCAGTCGACTCCCAAGCGGGTCTCTACATTGTACTGGCGCCGTCGGGGCAGGAAGCTTCGGATCATGGACAGGCGGGACTTTGTCGGGCTAGAAGGAGATGATGCAAGTGAGAGGAGGGTTAAGGAGTCCTTTATCGTGTGGATCATGATATCTATCGACGTGGTTGTTAGGCCAGTCTGCTCCCACGCGCGTCTCCACGTTGTAGATATTGTACTGGCGACGTCGGGGCAGGAAGCTTCGGATCATGGACAGGCGGGACTTACTTAGTCGGGCTAGAAGGAGAGGATGCAGTGAAAGGAGGGTTAAGGAGTTCTAAAGCGTGTGAATTTTGACCCGTATAGGCGTGGTTGTTAGGCCAGTCGGCTCGCACGTGCGTCTCCACGTTGTAGATGTTGTACTGGCGACGTCAGGACAGGAAGCTTCGGAACAGGGACAGGCGGGACTTGGTCGGGCTAGAAGGAGAGGATGCTGGTGAGAGGAGGGTTGAGGAATGACGCAAGGTTCTTGAGCGCTCAGCTAAAAGACCTAAAAATATCAGGTGGTGGTGGTACCAGGGTGGCAGGGTACTCCTAAGAGCGTAGGTAAAGGATTTGAGATAATAAGGTAATGTGGAAAAGTGGCGTCGATCTATTCTTACTTACCAGTGAACTCTAGCTAGCAGGTGAGTATTTGGTTGAAGAATCTGAAGACTGCCCTAGGTACCTGAATGACAACTGCTGGGTCATGCAAACTATTTGGTCTTAAATAGAAAGACACGGGTCTAATGCGACATTTAGTTACATTATGGACTCACGGCTTGACTAGCTATACTGAAGCCGTGGTCACAAACAGACTGATCAGTCTATACTAAAGCAGTCTATTTGGTGTACTTACCGGGGATGGCACTTGCATTCGACGTCCGTCTCCGACTCCCGATAGAGGTCGTGGGAACGCGTGGCTCCCAAGCGGGACCGAGACGGGGACTTCGTGGCCCGCTTGTCCCCATTCCTGCAGGGGTCGGTAATAGAGAACAAGTCAGCAAAACAGGAAGACAGCTATAGTGAAAGTAGGTGTGTAGGTATCCCTGCATCGCTTATACCCTTTTATTATTTTCCGTTTGAGTGTATCAAACATTATATCATGAGGAACTCTAAGGAATCGATAAGAAACGGTTGGTTTTCGATTTCGAGTCGTGTCGCAAAACGAACGGGTGTTTTGAGTCAAACCTAGGTAGGCAAACTTTCTTGGTCACGTAAGGAGGTTATATTTGATCGGATAAGGTGGGATGTGGGACCACGAGAATGCAGGTATTCAAATTAAAACGGGTCTACAGCCTGAGTTAGGTACCTACCGGTCAACACGGAAATCATTGGGGGAGGCCTATGTTCAGCAGTGGACGTCCTATGGCTGAAATGACGATGATGACAGCCTGAGTTTGAAGAAAGTGTCTACCTCCGTAACTTATTTGTATAACTTACCTCAGCCAATAACAACTAACCGAATTGACAAATTTAAGAAAAATATTTGTGATGGTATTGATAAACTTATATTAGATGACAATNTGCCTCACAGCTAGCTGCAGAAGAATCGCAGAGGAATCGCCCTCGTGTTCAGTCAGGCTCAAAGACCTTCTCATAGTCTAAGAACGCCAAGCATATAGGCAAGTTAGACTCTTCGGTCTTCTGTATAACCTGCCGTAGCGTATACAGGGTGTTAGGTAAATGGGTATATGAGCCGACACTAGCCCATGTTAACATGGGCATATAAATGGTATGGTGAAGTCAGAAATTTGATATCTTCATTTTAATTATTTTAATTTTCATACAAATCGGATTTTATAAAATTTATTTTATATGAAAATTAAAAAAAATAAAATGATATCAAATTTCTGGCTTCACCATACCATTTATATGCCCATGTTAACATGGGCTAGTGTCGGCTCATATACCCATTTACCTAACACCCTGTAGATGCGGTATATGGTAGTGTAAACGTTTCGATAACTGGCTTCCTCGAGAGACTATAAGTCATCGAACCTACGCGCGAGACTATTCGTGATGGCTCTCAAAAACAGCTTGTAGACATGACTCAGAGTCAGAACCCAGATGGGTCTGTAATTCCTTAATAAGGCTTTTACCCCTTTCTTAAAGAAAAACACCACCAAGCATTTGTTCCGTGCCTCTGGCATTATTCCCTGGAGTAAGACGGAGTTACAGTTTATGAAGGACTTTCAGTATCGGCTTATTACCTGCCGCGTTCAGAAGCTCCGAGGTTATTCCGTCATCACCCGTGACTTGTTGTTCTTTAGCTGTTTGAGAGCCATCCTAATCACGTAAGGGCTGATGTCCTGCTAATCTTCGGTATAGTGTCGAGTGGCTGTCCTGTGGCTGAGCTATTAACAGGTTTTACTCTATCATCCGCTCTCTTCAGCTGGCTTCGCCCATTAGAGTGGTCTCTAGCGAACATTTTGGAGCTTAGGTCTCGCCCTATTGCCTCTTAATATAATTACTAATAAAGTTGCGAATACATATCTCAAGGACTTCCTTATCTAAGAACCTATTTTGACACTTAAACGTTTTGAAAACTTAAAATAATTTATGAAAAATTTCAATATCGGAATACGATATTGGCTTCAGTTCCGGAATTGAAATATCGGAAAAAAATTATCCGAAATTCCGGAGTTACGAAATTCCGGAATTCCGGTATTCAAGCCCTAGTCTCCACGTTGTAGATGTTGTACTGGCGACGTCGGGACAGGAAGCTTCGGAACAGGGACAGGCGGGACTTGGTCGGGCTAGGAGAGGATTTAGGTGACAGGAGGGTTAAGGAGTTCTAAAGCGTGCGGATTTTGACCCGTATCAGCGTTGTTGTTAGGCCAATCGGCTCCCACGCGCGTCTCTACGTTGTAAACATTGTACTAGCGACGTCGGGGTAGGAAGCTTCGGATCATGGACAGGCGGGACTTGGTCGGACTAGAACGAGAGGATACAAGTGAGAGGAGGGTTGAGGAGTCCTATAGCGAACGGACCAAGATTTCTATCGGCGTAGTTGTTAGGCCAGTCGGCTCCTAAGCGCTCCTCCACATTATAAACATTGTACTGGCGCCGTCGGGGCAGGAAGCTTCGGAACAGGGATAGGCGGGACTTGGTCGAGCTGGCGGGAGAGGATGCAGGTGAGAGGAGGGTTGAGGAATGACGCAAGGTTCTTGAGCGCTCAGCTAAAGGGCCTAAAAATATCAGGTGGTGGTGGTGGTACAGCAGGGTACTCCTAAGAGCATAGGTAAAGGATTTGAGATAATAAGGTAATGTGGAAAAGTGGCGTCGATCTATTCTTACTTGCCAGTGAACTCTAGCTAGCAGGTGAGTGTTTGGTTGAAGAATCTGAAGACTGCCCTAGGTACCTGAATGATAAAGGTGTCAGCATATTTCCTTTATTGCAAGATAATAAGCTGATGGGCCCAAAAATCTCCATAGTTATAGCTGTGGTTGTGGTGTGGTGTGGTACGTGTGGTTTACCACAGCAATATTTCTATTATTATGACACTTCCAGTCAAGAATGTGCCCGAATTATTGATTTGGCCTTGAGACTGCTAGGTCATGCAAACGCGACATTTAGTTACATTATGTACTCACGGCTTGATGTTTCGGCTGCTATACTGCAGCCGTGGTCACGAACAGACTGATCAGTCTATACTGAAGCAATCTATTTGGTCTGCTTACCGGGGATGGCACTTGCATTCGACGTCCGTCTCCGACTCCCGATAGAGGTCGTGGGAACGCGTGGCTCCCAAGCGGGACCGAGACGGGGACTTCGTGGCCCGCTTGTCCCCATTCCTGCAGGGGTCGGTAATAGAGGACAAGTCAGCAAAAAAAGCAGACAGCTATAGTAGGAAGTAGGTGTGATATCCTGCATCGCATATACCCTCACTTTATTATTTGCCGTTTGATACTCTAGTCTAAAACATTATAATCGTGAGGAACTCGTAAGGAACGGTTGGCTTTCGAGTCGTGTAGCAAAACGAACAATTGTTTTGAACGAACTTAGGTAGGTAAGATTTTCTTTCTGGTCACATAAGGAGGTTATATTTCATAGGATAAGGTGGGATGTGGGACTACGAGAATGCAGGTATTTTTGTTCAAATTAAAACGAGTCTACAGCCTAAGTTACCTACCGGTCAACATGGAAATCATTGGGGGAGGCCTATGTTCAGCAGTGGACGTACTATGGCTGAAATGACGATGATGACAGCCTGAGTTTGAAGAAAGTGTCTACCTCCGTAACTTATTTGTATAACTTACCTCATCATCTCGGATCTTTCGAGCCATCGGGATATCGTGTCATCTCTCTCAGTTACCTACATCAGCGTCTCCAAACTACAGATACTTACGTGCGACACTCGCAGACGACATTGGTCTCCGGCTCTTGAAGGCTGCAACAAGACCGTGAGCCGCCTGATCGGGAGCGCGAGCGAGACCGCGCTACGGACGGAGGCCTTTTGTTCCCGTCGCCTTGTCTTGCCTTGTTACATTTGTTTCTGTAGAAAGTTAATAGAAATAAGGTGCCGGAGATACGTGATGAAATGTCGCGTCTTGTTGATGATGCGCGCGATGGAAGGTCAATTGACAGAAGAAAATGAAGCGTTAGAGCGCTTTCACATTTAGGCGACTTTAGCAGTGCGAGAAACGCGCGACAGACGTGCTGCCGATAATTTCATACTATATGAGCGCTTTCACTGAGGCTGCTTTTAGTGTCACGCGGACCGTCCGGTGCGGACCCGCTCCGCACGGCCAATCTATGTGAATTCTAGCATGCGGTCCGGAGGAACCACTCCGCTCCCTAGCAGTTCATACAAATTGGCTGTGCGGAGCGATCCGCACTGACAGTCCGCGTGACACTAAAACCAGCCTGAAAGCAGGCATCCGCTGTCCGCGTTGCTGTTGCGCTTCTAACGCCCTAATGTGAAAATGCGCTTAGTGATTAGTGTCACCACCAGACCCAGTTAAACGAGAACTTCTTGTTGCTATTGATATTTAATTGAGTTTAGAGGGTTGATTGTAGTGACTGACTGACATAGAGATTATAATCTATTTTCCAAACTAAAAGCAACTAAATCATAAATGAGACTGAATTCTGCCTTCAAGCACAAAGGGAGAGGAGCCAAGACAACAGGTCATCAATGTAAAATACCTGTGATACTGCGCCGAATGGCAGACTTGTCTCTGGCGGGAGCCATCTGAATCTGTGCAGTGGCATGACGTCACTTTGACGGTCTTCATATTGCATGGCTGGTCCCAAACCTCGTCGATTCGCACTTTGGTGGCTATTTCTATCTTCGGTGAAAGGATTCCCTAAAAATTCAAAATACTTAGTAAATTCTCTATTTCCTAATCATTTAGAATATTAAGGATAATGATAATAACTTACAGGAAACTCTTTAGATCTCCTCATGAGAAGGTCGACTCCATCATTTGAGCACATATTTGGCGGGAACAGGACGTCATTAATGGCGCCCAGATACTGCGCCAGGATTGTGCACTCGCCAGAGCGACAGTCGTTACTCCATTGTACTAGCTCACAGTATATTGTTTCGTCTTCTGCAAGTCATGGAATGCATTCATTCATTAATGGCAGTCATACAGCAAACAAACTTTTTCCTAAGTTTATTGTCAAGGTAGCTACCCACTTAGAATACAGCAAATATTATTGAGCGTACAGGATTCCTGGAACCGTTTTCTAAAGTAGAACACATCTTTGAACATGAGTGGAAAGACTGGAGGCAACATGCAGGTCTGGTAGCTTGTCCCCAGGGCGAACACTGTGAGCGAAACGCGGCCATCTTGGCAGAGCCACACTCCTGGACAGGAGACCTGGAAGAAAATTGAAAAAACTTGTATTCAATTCCTTTTATGTTGTTACTTAAATTACTGTGTAAAAGCTTGGGATACCATGTTATTGTTGTATTACTTGGATAGAATTGGGTGGTTTTAACCTTTAAAAGGACTTATCCATTTAGTATAATTATATCTTAGGTCGACAAAGTAACACAGAACTATGTTTCTAAAATATCTTGCATTTTACCTTTTGTACTTCAAGTTCGACGGTCAACTCGATAATTTTAGGCATGTTGCAGCATCACATAATTACAGATTAAGACAAAGCTTACACACTGTTACACACTAACCACAACTCATATTTAATTAATTTTCTATCTGAAGTTCATCATTAGAAACTTGTTTTTTGACTTCCACTTTTTGAGTTTTGACATTTTCTAATTTACTGATGATGACATGAACAGCTGTGTGCACTGCAATTGGTTGATTAACTTTGATAAGCCATTGTAGCTAATCACTGTGAGGTTTTGGAAAACTAACAACCAATCATACTTTGAGTCATAGTTGCCATAGCAACATTTGTAAGCAAACAAATAATCCGTTTCGTTTCATGCATAAAAATTTAAATTGCAAGTTTATCGACTTGTTCTGTTATTTTATAATAATTATTCTGAAAAATCTCATAAAATAATACCTGAAGAAAATTCTCATTAATTTGTGGTTCGATTTGTGAATGAAATAATAAAACGTGCCAAATAATATTTCACTTGCACGTTTCATGTTTTGTAAGCGTTTCGTTCGTTAGTCGTTAATTTTGACAGTTTCAGAGCGAGTTTTTTGACATATTTTTTTAAATAGGTTATGTTTTTTTTTTTTTTTTTTTTTGGGGGNATGTTAGTTTGCGTCGTGATATTCCATCTTTAGCCGGCTAATGTGCACATTAGCCAAAACGAAACGGCTAAAAATGTATTCGATGGGCGCGCCAGGCCGGCGGAGGGCTTGAGGGGGCGGTGGGGTGACAACGCGCGCGCAGTTTTATTTTGTAATTTTAAATACCTACAGTAGATTCTGTTATGACCAAATGGATCCTTATTATTTTATTTTAATGATTAGGTAGATATTGTTTTAAGTAATTAATATTTTGTTATTGTACCTAATAATTGTAAATTTGAATACCTACATAGGTACATAAAAGTATGTGTAATGAAAATGATTATTTTTTTAATAAAGTTTTCGTGTCAAAATAGTCAACATTATTACATTATTTCCTTTTCCATTTCCTTCTACATTTTTAGCCAAGGGCCTGCGGTTACACTTAAGTTTAGCCGGCTAAAGATAGAAGAAACTAACATTAACACCTCGTCGAAGATAAACTTAAGTTTAGCCGGCTAATCTTAAGTTTATGCTTACACCTATCTTTAGCCGTAACATATATAAGTTTATCGACTTGTTCTGTTATTTTATAATAATTATTCTTAAAAATCTCAAAAAATTATTCCTGAAGAAAAACATCAATTTGTGGTTCGGTTTGTGAATGATATAATAAAACGGGCCAAATAGTATTTCACTTGCACGTTTCATGTTTTGTGAGCGTTTCGTTCGTTAGTCCTTAATTTTGACAGTTTCAAAGCGAGTTTGGTTTGACGTATTTTTTTAGGTTATGTTTTTGTAAATGTAAAATTGCGTTGTCGTATTAGTAAATATTCGATCTAAGAATTATTAATTATTACGTATTTTTAAGTTCACATAATGGCTAAGTTGCCGAGTGTTGTTCATTGGTTTCGCCTCGATCTACGTATTCATGATAATCTTGCTCTTCGTAACGCAATAAATGAGGTACAATGCAATTTACTTATTTCGACTTGTTCTAATTAGAAAATTAAGCTTTTTTTTAATCAGTGTAACTATTTATTTTACAGGCTGAGAATCGCAAACATCTTCTAAGACCAGTTTATGTAATTGATCCAGACATAAAAAACAGAGTTGGTCAAAACAGGTTAAGATTTTTGATACAAAGCTTACAGAATTTAGATTCAAACTTGCGAAAGCTTAATACCCGTCTGTTCATCTTAAAAGGGAAAGCCACAGAACTTTTTCCAAAACTGTTTGATGAATGGCAAGTCAAATATTTAACATCACAACTGGATATTGATCCAGAGTTTACTGAACAAGATGAAATCATTGATAAAGTAGCAGAAAAAAAGGACGTGTTTATCGTTAGAAGAGTTCAACACACAGTTTATGATTGTCAAAATGTTTTAAAAAAGAATAACGGCAGTGTTCCACTAACATACCAAAAGTTTATGTCCTTAGTAAATGACATACAAGTGAAAGAATCCATTGAAATAACAAAGTCAATATCTGATGAATGTAAACCTCGAGATAGTGATTCTGATGAATACGATGTTCCCAGTCTTGAAGAGTTAGGTCTGGATGAGTCATCACTCAATCCCTGCAAGTATCCTGGTGGTGAAACGGAAGCCTTGAAAAGGCTGGACATTTACATGGCTAAAAAGCAATGGGTTTGCAAGTTTGAGAAACCAAACACATCACCAAACAGTATAGAACCCAGCACCACAGTACTGAGTCCATATTTGAGCCATGGATGCCTATCAGCAAAGTTGTTCTACCACAAATTGAAAGAAGTTGAAAGTGGAATGCCTCATTCTGAGCCACCAGTTTCATTATTTGGTCAATTGATGTGGAGAGAGTTCTACTACACTGCTGGCACTGGTACTGAGAACTTTGACAAAATGGTGGGCAATAAGGTCTGTACTCAAATACCATGGGGGAAAAATGATGAGCACCTAAAAGCTTGGGCAGAGGGAAGAACAGGCTACCCATTTGTTGATGCCATCATGAGGCAACTCAAACAAGAAGGCTGGATCCATCACCTAGCCAGACACATGGTAGCTTGCTTTTTGACCAGAGGTGACCTGTGGATATCATGGGAAGAAGGGGCCAAAGTTTTTGAAGACTACCTCCTTGACTATGACTGGTCTCTGAATGCTGGCAACTGGATGTGGTTGTCTGCTTCTGCTTTCTTTTATAAATACTTCAGAGTTTACAGTCCTGTTGCATTTGGCAAGAAAACAGACAAAAATGGCCTTTATATCAGGAAGTATGTTCCTGAATTGAAAAAGTTTCCAGCAGAATACATATTTGAACCTTGGAAATCTCCGAAATCAGTGCAAAAGGCAGCTGGATGTATGATTGGAGAAGATTACCCAAATAGAATTGTTGATCATGATAAAATACACAAAGAAAATATGCAAAAAATGTCTTTAGCTTACAAAGTCAATAAGGAGAAAAAGGCATTAAAAAGACCACATTCATGATTGAAATTATATTTTATGTTAAATTTACTTTTTGCAAAGGCTTCTAAACCTTAACCCCACTGATATGAAACTCATCTACCTCAGGTTTTAATACTCCACTGTTTGTTTTTGAGATAATTTTGTAATAATTGTGTTTTAAGCATAGCTAAGGTTTATTAAAATATTTTAAAATTTTCTTTTTGTTTGGCTTGAAGTTATGAAAAGAACAAATTACAACAAAAACTTGGCTGTATAGTATTAATATGCCTTTGCCTGAAAAAGAAAATAATCGAACAAAAACATACAACATTTTTTAAGTCTATGGTATTAGCCAATAGTGCTGTGCTCCAGTAGCCAAGATATCGATAAAACTAATTTCATTTTGATATTTTACCAAGAATGCTAAAGTACTGAAAGTCTGCAACATACAATGAATATTGATAATCTCTAAGAAAAATAAGAATACTGGTAGTAATAAAATACTATCCTGAGCTTAATTTTCATTTATCAGTTAAGCAAAGATATAAGGATTTTTAGGATACAAACACACGTTACTCCTTTATCGTATGATCTAAAGTCTTAATTTTCTAAACCACCATGTCCATGTCCACCATGCACCGCTGCATGCTGCAATAACCGCGAGCGAACTGTTTCATTTCAAACTATCGATATCAGTTTATTGAATGTACAGCATTACTAAGTATCTGTCAGTTGTCACTGCTGTCACTACTGTCAGGATTCAAAGTTGCTGTCATTGTCATCCACAGATATGGATTAGAGTTGTCATCATTCTTTTTTAATTGAGAAAAAAATACGAAAAACATTCTTTTTGTGCATAATAATTACACAATAATAGTGGCAAAGGATGGAAAATGTTAGTATCCACCAGTTTTACTTATTCAGTCAATTTACTTTGTACAAAAATATTAAGTTAAGGTACCAAAATTATTCGAAATATCGTATTCATTGTTTTAGTCAATACTTGCTACTATTGTATTGTCTTTGTGTTTAATAACCTTATTAGAAATAATATATGGCTATGATTGACCTACGGACTATCACGACCCAAAGCCTTAATCTTTAGTAAGGTCTTAACAACCTATGCAATATCTTGTTGGGTTGTGCACAACCTGCGATCAATCTGCTTGTACTATTGAAGAGATTCAGCATAACACAACTTCTTATGAGTCGAAACTATAGGATCTATATAGGTATTTGGAGTTAATATTAAGATTGCTGTTCAGCAATGATGAGATGAATTATAGGAAAAATAGAATCTTTATCTTTTCTAAGCTCTATGAGTACAGATTATAGTAATTCCCATATCAATAATAATTTATTTTACTTCCAGCATGCCATAGGGCTGAGACAACAATGTAAACAATGAGGACTAATCCAATAAAGGCTTGGATATATGCAGAGGTATGTTTACTGCATATTTTTTACTCACAATTCTGTACAAAAGTAAGCTTATAGTTGAAAAGCTGATCAGTTGCAAATTTACAAACATAATATTTTGGATTGTATCTTATTGAACTGTGGCTCTTTGACTTGAAAACTATTAAATTTATTCTGCAAGCAGACCATTCACATTCAAAGAAATATCTCTCACACCTACAAACAGCATAAAAAGTACAAAAACAATAAAAATTTATCTTCCTATTTTAACAGTAACTGATAGGTAGGTATGTGTGTTACAATCAGCAGCACATTTTGATGGAAAATCTATTTTGTTGGAAAAGTTATTGCAACTAAATTTAAATGATTTGTGGGAATGAATAGAGGTATCCGTGGGCTCCACGGATTGTTCTGTTCATTTCCATAGATCAGCTAGTGGTGCAAAGAGGCAAAGCATGTTTGTAAGATGGGGATAGCGGTGCGGGTTGTACAATAACTAAATGTCGTGGTATAACTTTACTGCATATCTGAATTGTACAATTATTTGTTATCCTAAATAAAATAAAATAAAATAAATAAGGTAGTATTTAGCTTGCTATGCTGTAGTCTGTACACAATACACCCACTAATTCCTTTAACCTGACACTGGCCAGTTGTGTTCCAGTTTGTACTGACATGATTAGGAACTTGGCTTTGAATCAAACTTGAATTTGCATACAATAGAAGACCAAAACCAGTTAACAGGTAGGTGTCAAATTGGCTTTTTA